GACATGAGGCAGAGGGAGCGCTGTGACAGCCGGCTGGCTTGGAGGATCTGGTGAGTAGAACTTATTTTTGAAGCCAGACAAAGGCGAGTACTTGGCCCACGCAGTGCCGGAGTAGCCCCACCGGGAGGGTTAAGAAGAAAATAAATTCCTCCAGTTCTTTCTTTATTTTTGGGTTTGCTTTCTTTGTTTCCACCTGGTGACCCTGCCAGTAACACACTTCCTGTCCCAGAGTATCAACACTTACTCTATTGTATCTATCGAGTAGCCATGTTGTCATGCTAGGACAGGAAGTGTCAGGACTACACTACACCTCCTACTCCCCTCCCCATAACAAGTGGGGTGTTGTGTAGTTCTCAGAAGAAAGCTTGGCAGAGGTGGTGACCTTTGTTTGAGATTCAGGTTAGGTGCATTAGAAGTTACAAGGACACTGGGTCCGTACGTGTGCCGGTGTCCCGCCTCAGACGCAGACAGGATCCATCCTGTCTGCGTACGAGTACGGACACCCCCACGGACGTGAGCGTAGGGCGGTGTACGGCCGCGTCCTCCCATAGAGAAGGACGGGGGCTGCGTACTAATCACACTCAGCACCTGTCCTTCCCGGGAGCTGCCCGATACAGCCGTCCACGCAGCACAGAGCTGTACGTGCCGGCCGTTTCCCGTGTGAATGAGCCCTTTTATGTTGCATTTTGTGGATTCGATATCTTTTCTTCAATTTTCTGTTGTTGAAGCTTTCATGTCTTTAACATTTTCTTGTCATCGATTTAATAAAAACTGCTTTGTTTTCAGGGTTTATTATCCTCCCAAAACCAAGCGAATTCTCCAAGTGGGACTGTAGTATAGCCCACGACACCACCTACCGCTAGTGAAACATTAACACCCCAGGACCAGACGTAATGACAGAGGAACCAGGAAATAATCTTCAGCTGCAGAATATCCATTTAGAACAAAAACAAAAAATTTCAGTTTGTGGGATGCTAAAAAAAAAAATCTATATATAACACACTAAAGTTTGGTGGAGAAATTCCTTCTGCTCGGTTCTCGCTCTGACTCCCACCCCGAGTTCCCTGACAAAACGCAACTCCGCGTGTGTGTGTACATATTATATATATAAACTTAGACGTTACAGTGACATAAAATAGTCCGTTCATTCCTTCTCGCTTTATACTTTTCAACTTTAATTTAATCTTTATAAATATAATGTAAAAATAAAAGTGTTTATTGAAACAAAAAAAGAGCCCCGG